AAAAAGAAACAAACAAAAGTCTGTCTGGGCTAAGCCGTCATTTTTCCTTCAGGAGCCATAGGCACACAGTTCGCTGCCAGGACAAGTGGACGGGCCGTCTCTACCTTTTCAATCCAACCCCACACACCCGCAGCCCTGTTAATCCAAAGAGCTAATCTGACGGCCTCTGTGCTCGTCTTAAAAACGTCCCACTGCTTCCGCCCGCGTGGAGGATGAAAAGCCCTCCGTCTCCATCGTGTCATTTCAAGGTTACTCCGACCCGCCTGTGTGTGGGGGTGGGGGGGAACACCCACCTTCTCACTTCAGGGCCTTTCCTCAGGCTCCTCCATTCACTGGAGCCACCCACACTGGCCCTCCAACCTGGTCAGGCTACGTCCTACCCAAGCCTCACAGCTCAGCTCAGCTGCGCCATCTTTTCCTTCCAAAAGCTTCCTTGAGCCCAGCTGGCGTGGCTCCGTGGTTGAGCGTCAGCCTAGGAGCCAGGAGGTCACGGTTCGATTCCGGGTCAGGGCACACGCCCGGGGTTGCAGGCTCCATCCCCAGTGTGGGGCGTGCAGGAGGCAGCCGATCAGTGATTCTCTGTCATCATTGCTGTTTCTCTCTCTCTCCCTCTCCCTTCCTCTCTGAAATCAATAAAAATATATTTTTAAAAAACCAACCACATACAACCGCCTCCGCCCAAATACACACACGGTCCCTGAGCAGTGAAGTGAGACCTTCACCCACTTTCAGAGGCAGGAGCTCACGCAGACCTGAGGCAGGAGCCTCTGAGCCGTGCCAACAGACGCCCATCCGATTCGTCGCTGATCACAGAGAAAAAGGCTTTGGTTTTTCTAATTTAACAGTGACTTTCAAGGCGGGAAGGATGGGGGAACCTCGTAAGAGAAAACCAGATTAGTTTGCTTCACGTTTCACACAGCGAACTCGGGCCTACAGGGCACCTGGAAGGCCTTTCGACAGAAAGGGAGCGATGACACTAACAGTTAATATTCACAGCGCACTGCCCACCCGTGGGGCCCTTTCGCCTACCCCCGCGGTTCTCAACCTGTGGGTCGCGACCCCTTTGGGGGTTGAACGACCCTTTCACAGGGGTCGCCTAAGACCATTAGAAAACACAGATATAATTACATATTGTTTTTGTGATTAATCACTAGGCTTTATGTTCAATTTGTAACCATGAAAATACATCCTGCGTATCAGGTATTTACATGACGATTCATAACAGTGGCAAAATTACAGTTATGAAGTAGCCACGAAAATAATTTTATGGTTGGGGGTCACCACAGCATGAGGAACTGTATTAAAGGGTCGCGGCATGAGGAAGGTTGAGAACCACTGGCCTACCCTATTCCTTCCTAGGTCCCCCGTGCAAGCCCCACCTCAGTGGCTCCATTTTGCAGAAGAGGAAACGAAGGCGCTCAGCTTACACACGGTTCCATGGTTCCAACCTCAGGCCTGTGTAGTTAGTCCCCGAGCCCCCACCCACCACGCGAAGTTTCTCCGAGTGTAAAGGTGTGGCACACACTCCCCTTCCCACTCTCATTTGCAAGATTTTTACGCAGAGCCGGACCCAGGCTGGGGAACGCGGAGGCGGCGTCCTCACCTCCCCATCCCTCCATCCTCCCCCGACCCCAACTCAGGTATACGACACACTTGTATCATCTCCTACGGTTCCTCCCAACACAGCACCCAAATGCTGCTCCTGAGCGGGAGCGACCATCCCCAGGTGCCACCCTGCAAGGTCAGAGGTGAGCTCACGGCCGGCGAGCGCCGCGCGCGGGGCTGGCACCCACCTTTCGGTGCTAGAAGCCCACGCGCCCGCCGCGAGATGCGCATGATGCAGACACTTTGGCACGTGCCGGGCGAACGCAGCAAGCTCTCCCGGGCGCCACTTCCGCCAAGTCTAACCGGACAGGATACCCCTGTCCTGACCATCCACTCGCTCCGGACCCCACGCCTTACCTGGCGATCGCGAGTCCCGCCTCAGCGCCCCCCTCTCCCCCGGCTGTCAGGCGCAAAAGCCCCCGCAAAGGCCACCTGGCAGGTCGGTCTCCGCCGGCCACCACCCCCGGTCTCCCTCCCGATCTCCCCTGTCACCGGCGCAAGTCGGTTTCAC